AGTAGTAAGCACTACTGCTTACACTTTAGATGAGTGACAGATGTGAGTTGTTCTTCTATGTCTAGATTAATTTGAGTGAAATTGAGTGGAATTATATGAATACATCATGATGGTGTTGTAGTCTTGGTTTTGTTTGTTATTCATTCCTGTTCATTTTAAAAATATCCCATTCCTTGTGCATCTCTTATGGGTGTCCTTCCTCTCTTTGGATGTTTTCCCACCCTTTCTGATTGTCTTATCCATCCTCATTCATTTCTTTTGTGTCTTGTTTTGTTCTCTGTGTATATGTCGTCCTGTGTCTTCTTCTGTTAGTTGCCGGTTTGTGTGTTTACCTGCCTGTCTATCCTTTGCGACTTGTCCTCGGTTGTTGTTGGACTTCTTTTATAAGATTTTGCTTTCAACTATCATCTTTAGTAACTTTTATTGCCATTTACTTTTGTTTGTTTTAAACTGCCTGTGTGTGCATTTGGCCCTCCTCTGATGCCACTGTCCACAGATGGTGTGTATTTTTACACCCACACCAGTTGTATTAACTCCCATTAGCAGGAATTTTGTAGCTGACGGACCACAAAGTCAAATTTTGTCCATTTAATTCTTTATATTAGTACGAGCATTAAAACCACTGACAGGTGTAACAGGTGTGGCATTCATATGGATGTTGCTTTGACGTGCACCACCCATCTAAACATTGTTGCAGATGCAAGGTGTTGACTCCCCAGATCTCAGTCTGACCGAGCATATATGTACGGCACCAGAACAAGGTTGATCCGCCCAACCCGATCAGCCCACAGGACATGAAGGATCCACTGCCAGCGTCCAATGTCAGACACCACCGAACACCTTACGACGGATCAAAGCTAGTTTAACTGCACATGGTGGACTTACACAACATTAGGTAGGTGGTTTTAATGTTGTAGCTGATTGCTGTATTTCTCATGTCTGTAACTGCAACAGGTTTAAATTCCTGCAAATTTAAACATTTGTTGGATTGATGGAAAGATTACAAATGCAGACATGCATGCAACGGAGCAATTAGAAGTCAAAAATACTGAACTGTTTGGCTGAGGTGACAGTTACGGAGTCCTAGGAATCCTTGTATTTTTAATCTTGAGCCAACAGAATATGAATGAATATGCATTTTGTTAGATTTTTTTAAAGGCAAACATCTTTTAGGACTACAGGGTCCCCATAGAACTTAGTATTACTGTAGCACATGTAGGGTTTTATGCAGACCCTTGCAATAGATTAATCACAAAAATTAAAAGTGAAGTAGCAGAAGTAAGGACTTTGCTATGTACGCTGTAAAAAAAAGAAGAAGCACTGCTTCAATTAAGTCTTACATATCTTTCTGCTTTGGTGATGGCAGTTTTGTGGATTCTGTAAATTTGAAATTACAGTTTTCACCTCTGTATTATAATTTCAAAGAAAGTGTGGAAATTCAGTTTACTGTTCCTTTAGTGCTGTGCGTCTACGATCATAATGTTCAGATTTCTTCAGATTTTTCTGCTGCAACGCCATTTTTTTCGAATAGGATTGCAGAATAAAGAAAAGGACAGAACAGTAAGTCTAATGACAAAATTGTGTTTTACATTTTATGTTCAGGTAAAAGGGAGTAATTAAGTTTATTATTTATTAAGATAAGATAAGATGAGATAAGATAAGCCTTTATTTATCTCACAGTGGAGAAATTCACAGTGTTGTCAGCAGCATTACACATAGAGATACACACATACTAGACAGAAAAATTTACATATATATATAAGAAATAGTGCAAACTTAGAAACTTCATGTGACTTTTCTTTAAATGAACTTGCTGCAATGCTCATTTGAGAGGAATCAGATGATTAATACTGCAATTAATATTACTTGCTAACTTTATTTGAATGAACCTGATTCAATTTGCAATTGGTGCAAATTGGTCCAGCAGTTCCTTTTGTTCCGTGTGCTGTAGCTCTCATCATAACCTGAGATTACAAAGTGCTGTATACAGAAAGAAATTTAGAATCATTAATAAATACACTGTACAGAACAGGAAGCTATACACATTTTTATGGATCGTATGAGAAATAAAACAAAATTTGAAGTTGTATTGCTTTCCAACGAGATTTAAATCTAAGAACAGTTCCTTAAAATGTTTGAAAAGAACTTTAAAGCACTTTAAAGTCCTTCAAAAAGACTTTAAAGCACTTTTAACTAATAAGTCTATGCGCAATTAAAAGTAGCTACTTAAGGCATCTAAAAGGTAATGTCAGCATCTGCACACAGACGAATTGCAAGCTGTTATTTTCAAGCTTTGACTACACCAGCAGTTTTATACGCTTTGCCCCAAGTTCCTTGCCAGAGTGCACTTGCAGCAGCTGCTGATTGATGGGCTCTTGGATTGACGACAGCTCCCCAGTGTGTCGCTGGCTGCCATGTTAAATACTGAGCTCTCACACTCTCCGTACAGAAAAAAACACATATAGCTTCTGTCGGGGTCAGTTTAAGTTGAACTTTTAAAATCAGAGGCTATCCTTGGGCCAAGGGTCACAGTGTTCCTGAGGTGACAAAAACAAAGTACAAATATGTCCCGTAAACTTGAACTAAAAGGCGTCGGCGCATGGCTGCAGATTCTCCCCTGTACCTCAAAAACATCAATTTGTCTTTGTCATTTCGTATGTGATGTAATCCGGGGACTGACCCTCGTGCACGTGCTCGGCCCATGTGTATGCAAATAAGTACGCATACTTGGAATATACTGGGTATTTGCTTGTGTCCATCAATCTGATCCCTAGAAAGGATCAGGAGTTTCATGTGACACGACCGTCCCTTTGGGTGACTCTTACATCCAACCAGAACCTGTGCACCCCCCTCCCCACTCATCTGGGAGTTAATAAGAGGGATCCTCTGGGGACACGCGGACACAATCAGAAGACCTCCATCGTTTGATGCCAAACAGCGTCGCCAGCACCAAGACAATCATGCCTGTGCCCAAGAAAGCAGGTAAGAAATCATCCTCACCTGAGACTCTAGGGGCACCTGTGAGGGGCATTAAACCAGGTTCCCACTCAGTCCGTGGCATCACCTGCTTGTTTTTTATCATAGAAGCTACACTGACATCAATATTTGCTGCTACGTCAAGTAAAACATGAGTAAATCCCACTTTTATCAAATATGGGTGTTAAAATGTGACTCAAATTTTACAGAAATTTCAGTTCAGAGTGAATTTATTTTATATTTCTGCTCTCTTTTTTTTTCATTGCATTGAAGTTCTAGATGTTGT